TTGAATGAGGATTGTGAGGAAGATGATGAGAAATTTGATATCTTGTTATGGTGGAAGGCCAATAGCCTTAGATTCCCAATCCTTTCGAAAGTTGCTCGTGATGTGTTAGCAGTCCCAATTTCTACCGTGGCCTCCGAATCTGCTTTTAGTACCGGAGGTCGTGTTCTTGATACATTTAGGAGTTCTTTGACTCCTAGAATTGTGCAAAGTTTAATATGTGCTCAAGATTGGTTTCGGTCCTCCAAGACAGAATTAAATGTAGAAGAAAATCTGGAAGAACTTGAAGCCTTTGAATCTGGTAAGCTATCAAAATTTTTATTGCAGAATTTGAAGTATTTCTTTATTTCTAATAATTGCCTTTATGATACTTCATGAATTTTGTTTATTCTTGCAGAGTTGCTGAAGACCGGATCTGAATCAACTATAATTGACCTTTGAGAGGTCACAAATGCTGAAGTTTGCATTTTTTAGAGTTGAACCACCTATAATTGTTTGTTCTTGTGGATTGTGGATTGTTTCTAGATAATTGACCTTTATGATTTCTGGATTGATTTCTGTAATTTCTTATTGTGGATTTGTGATTTCTAGATTTGTGGATTTGTCATTTTTGGATGTGTATGAAGTTTGGAATGGTTAGTAATTCTGAAGTTTGGGATGGCCTCTCTTGTCACTTAGCAAATTCTACATCTGTTTTGAACTGGTAGCTACTGGAGAAAGTTTGATATGTTGTGATTTGGTAGTGCAATCATCTGGCTGAGTAGCTGTTGTGCCTATGGACGTGATTACTATTTTTATTTTTTTCCATTATTTTGGTGCAGCTTTATGAATGATAATTGTAAACAGCACTTATTTTATTGCTAGAAATGATTTGGCTCGATATCCATTTTTCAAAAAATGAACCTCTGTGCATCATTATGGTTTGCTTTTCAGGCTGCACTTTGTCTGACTCCTATACTTCAGAAATTGTTAATTTGTTTTCAGGCCCCTAAGTGAATGTACGTATAGTTATTATACAAAGCAAAACAAAAGGAAAACAGGCTGCTTCAGCTTCACGAATTCGGACAAATTCGGTCAATTTGTGTTTACCGAATTCAATTCGGATTGAATTCGAATTCGATATTTGGTAATTCGAATACGAATTAGGTCGAAATATTCCAGGACCATTTACCGAAAATTACCGATTTCAAGCTACCGAATTACCGAATTCGAATTCGATGCTCACCCCTACGGTCTGGCACCAGAGGGAAAAGTTCTCCAACAAAACATTTCCCTGCAACTTCACCAGCGGCATCAGAGAATGGATTATTAAACTTGAGGAAAGGTTTGACTTTTCTTTTTCTTTTGTTTTAAACTTAGGTGAAGGTGGCTGGGGAAGGGGGAAGTAGGGAAGAGGGGGAGAGGGAAAATTGCAACAAAAATAAAAAGTTTCTGTACCTGACCTGTCCGGCAAGAGAAGGAGGGAAGGGGGGAGGAGAAAGAGAGGGAAAATTGAAAAAAACCTCCTCTGCCGGCAGGGGAAGTAGTGGTGGCGAGGGAAGGGGGAGGGGGAAGGGGAAGGGCAGAGGGGAGGAGAGGGGGAGAGGGAGAGGGAAAATTGGAAAAAAAAAAAAAAGATTTCTGCTGCTACCTCCCCCGCCGGTAGATGAAGCAGCGGCGGGCGAGAGGGAATGGTAGATGGGAGGAGAGGGGGAGAGGGAGAGGGAGAAGAGAGGTGGCCTTGAATCTGTTGCTTGGGGAGAGAAAAAATGCAAAAAAAAAAGCCTTGAATCTGCCGCTTCATTGGTAGCTTCGAGAGAGGGAACAGGGGAGGGAAGGGGGAAGGGGGAAGGCGAAGGGAGGAGAAGCGGGAAGCGAGGAAAGAAAAGAAAAAAGAAAGAAAGAAAGAAAGAAAAAAGAAAATGAAAAGGGAAAAAAGTTTTTTCTCTTACAAAAATTTTTCTACAACTTCTACGGTGATCTACAGTAAAGTTTTAAATAAACTTTCAAAAAATTCAGGTTTCAAACGGGGCCAGGTTTCTATCATTTGGAAAAAAAAAAAAAAACGGGGCAAATTTAAAGTTGGTTTTCTTTAAAAAAAAATTGTGAATATCTTCGCCAACTTCAATTCTCAAGTCCAAACCGGCCGACATTATTTCTTGTTGGATCTGATTTCATTATTACACATCATCTCTCTGTTTTCCTGCTTTCTTGTCCTTAGTTGAAATTTAAGTCTACAACGTCAATAATTTCGGGAGCCGCATCTGCATTCTATCTGGGGATAATATCATAAACCTCCCCTGAGGTTTCTTGAAATATCACTAAACTCCTCCCACATTTTGAAAATCTCACTTACCACCCCTCAAGTGATTGTGGGGTCAGAAGTCACTAGTTGATTTCATCAGTTGTCAATAATACCCTTGTTTCGCTTCTGTTACCTTATTTAGCTGATAAAAGGAAAAAAATTTAAAGTAAAGAAATTAAAACAATTAAATATTTTACTCTTAAAGATTTTTGTGGACATTTTACTCTAAAACATTCAAATTATAATCTATAAATATTTTTAAGTAAAATTCAAAAAGTGTTACAATAATTTCTTATGAAAAAAAACTAGTAGATTATCTATTTAACATAAATTAAATATTTTTTAAAAAAGAAATATCCCATAAAGTACCAACTCTTTATGATTTTTCTCTATTACATGAACCAAGTACCAGGTTTTTATGGACATTTTATTTTGAATCATTTAATTTATGTTAAATACATAAATATTTACAAATAAAATTCAAAAGCCATTACATAAATATTTTTACAGAAATAGCAGTAACATCCCTTAAATATAAATGAAGTATTTGAAAGTAAAAAAAAATTGTTCATAACATACCAGTTCTTTACGAGTTTTTTTCATTATATGAATAAAGTACTAGCTATTTATGAGCATTTTACTTTGAATCATTTCATTTATATTAAATATATAAATGTTTATAAGTGAAATTCAAAAAATGTTACACTAATATTATTACGAAAGGGAAACTAGTAGATTTTATATTTAACATAAATTAAATACGTGAAAGTAAAAAAAGAAATTATACACTTTTTACTAGCTCTTTACGGGTTTCTTCTATTATATGAATAAAGTACAAGTTATTTATAGGCATTTTACTCCGAATCATATAATTTATGTTAAATACATAAATGTTGGTAACTAAAATTTAAAAAGTGATATACTAATATTTTTACGAAAGGAAAACTAGTAGGTTTTGTATTTAACATAAATTAATACGTGAAAGTAAAAAAAGAAAGAAATTGCCCATAACATATCAGCTCTTTATGGGTTTCTTCTATTACTCGAACAAAGTAATAGCTATTTATGAACATTTTATTCTGAATCATTTAATTTATATTAAATATACAAATGGTTGTAAGTAAAATTCAAAAAGTATTACACTCATATTTTTACGAAAGGAAAACTGGTAAGTTTTGTATTTAACATAAATTAATTATGTGCAAGTAATACTCGCAGGTAATTTAATTAGTTTAATTAGTTACTTAATTAAATGCATCCATTTCATAAACCATAAAGGATGAGTTTAATTAGTTTAATTGTATGAGTGTCCTAATTAAAGGATGAACTAGCCATTTCTTTGCCCAATTACCTCTCTATTTGCGCAGTTATTTCAAGCGGTAATTTCACCTTTTAAAGAAGAAACTGGAAGCACTCAAAGTAGCCGTTGCATGTCCAACGGTCATGCAACAATGCTCATGCCAGAAAAATACTCTCCAATTTACATTTTCCACCTATTGCAACTTTCTTATGTCACTGTATCAGTCAACCTAAGGGTATGAAGGGAACTAAAATACTCTCCCTCCTCCAAAATGCATTTTCTATTGTTACTTTTGCTTAGAGGGGCTGACATTGTTAAGAAAATGTCAATTCAAAGGGTGGTAAGAGAGATTTCTAAAATGTGGGGGGAGCTTAGTGATATTTCAAGAAACCTCAGGGGAGGTTTCTGATTATCCCTTCTATCTATCAACTTCCTAACAAATTTCGGCGGATTAGAGATTGAAGTGAGTTTCCAAATTTGGCAGGCATGTGATTCCACTTAATAGCTACTAATCAACCTATATAGTAAAAGCACGAATGAGTTTTGACAAAAGAGTGGTCGTCTGCTGATGTGTCAAGCTCTCATTGGTTCAAATGTGGTCGTCCTTCTCATGCCAAAATCACGTGCCTAGCTAGAGAAATATTGGAGAGTTTTCTTGTTCCCTTATCTGCTCATTGGTTGGAACGACAAATGGGGTGGGCTCGAGATTCCTATTCCAATCAAGTGTCTCATGTCTCCCATCAAGTGTTTCTCTCTTATCGTTGTTTTCTCCTCTCATACTCAAACCACCAGACCACCACGGCTACTGTACCCATTGTTGAGGATCTCCTCCTCTCCGTTATTCTCTGTTTCTAGGTAAAAAAATTACCTACCGATCTATTCCAAAATTTTTCTTTTCGGACCACTATGGCTGCTGTACTCCTCATCCATGAACTTCTCCTCTCCGTTATTCTCCATTTCTCGGTAAAAAATTACCCGGACACTCAGCCTTTTATTCCTCTCTTTTTTTCCAAGTACTTGCCGATCTATTCCAAAAAAATTCTTTTTTCATATGCTTTCTGTCTGGATGGACTATGACTGTCAAGAAAATAACTTTATCGAGTTTTGTTGGTGCTGGTTTCAAGAAATCATCTTTTTTTTTTTCAGATACATTGCAGATCTGTTCAAAATTTTCTTATTTTTCCAGAACTTTCTATCGTCACCTTTTTTTTTCTTTCTTTTTATTAGACCTGATATAACTAAAATCATCTATTTCTGTTTTATCTATGCTATTCTCCATATTGATGTTAATTGTTACAGTGACCAATTTTTACAGTTTTTGAAGGGCATGAATTTTCTTTTCTTGTGGAATATTTAGATTGATATTATGCTTATTGTTAAATTTGCTTGTTTTTAATACGTGTGTTTTTTCTTTTTAGGAAAGTTTTGGTGCTTTTGTTGTGCTAAGTTCTCCTTCACTGAGTAAGTGTGCTAATTTTTTTATGTATGTATTCTTATCTTTTTAATTCCTTGAGCTCTGTTTTAGTTAGAATGATGATTGTAGAACTTGTAAACTGCTTTTGGAAGTACTTTATACATGTTTCTGAATAAATGTGTCTATTCATGCGCAATTTTCTCTTAATTTTTCCTTGGTTTTGAATAATTCTTCATGTTTCCTTTTGTTTCTTGTTAGGTTTTTACAAAGATGGATGGTGATTTTTTTTTGGAAAAGGGTGTAGCTTTCTGGCTGGAGTATTACGGCAGATGAAAGTTGTAAATAGGCTAATTTATTTTGTCCTCAATTAGGCTATGATGATATGGTTTTGGTTTCATTAGATGTATTTCAGGCTTTAAATTGATTGCCGTATCTTGGCGAGGCAACCCTGATTGCATTTGAGGTTCATTCTTCCCTTCAAATGTAATGGGTCTGCAGCCATGGCGGTACTCTCATCTCTGCCTGACTATTGCTGACAAACCTGAGCCTCACTTTAAACTACCATAATTACTGCTTAATTTAATTAAAAAGATTTGATCCCTGATTCCTTTTTTTCTGTTTGTATAATATTTTTCGAATCATGACAATTTCTAATGTTCTTATTGGTTGTTTTCACCTTTGAAGCAATCTTGACGGAGCTATAGCAAAAATTCTCAGGTGTGTTACTTTGGTTTATAGTTATAACTCATTCATCATATGATGTTTTACTTATGACAAAGCTTTAGCTTTTTTCCCTTTTGCTTTATATTATCTTGGTCATGCTACAGAAATTGCTTGATGCTTTGGTACAATTCACATAGTGACCTTGATGAGCTTTTTTCAGTGTGCTTTAATTTTTTGAGAAATTTTGTGGTCAAATGTAGAAACAATATAAAGTTTAGAATGAAATGTCTAACTAAATATCTACGTATTTGGGAGGTCTTGCAAGCCTCTATGTCTTAATAGAGAAGTAATTATGATATTTGATGGTTTTTTTTATAAAAAAAAATAGTAATACTTTTTTTCTTCAATATAAAAAAGCGTGGTTAGTCAGGAAAATCTTTGAAAAATTTTGTGGTCAAATGTAGAAACTAAATGAAGTTTAGAATGAAATGTCTAACTAAATATCTAAGTATTTGGGAGATCTTGCAAGCCTCTATGTCTTAATAGAGAAGTAATTATGATATTGATGGTTTTTTTTTATCAGAAAAAATAGTAATACTTTTTTTCTTCAGTATAAAAAAGTCTGGTTAGTCGGGAAAATCTATTGGGCACCTTTTTTTTTTCCTGCTTCACAACTCAAAAGCATGAAAGAAAACATCCTGCATTGCTCACTTGGTGTTATTTGGATAGAAATTCATTCTCCTTTTTTTTTTTCTCTCTTTATGGTAATTAGAAGATATAATGTTCATAATGATGGCTTTTGGTAATGTTAAATTACATGTTTTGTAGGTGTTTAGTCGTCACGAGAAATTAACTGAGCCTTATTTTAAGTCTCTATATCTGGTTTCGTCTTTTTTTTGTCCCCTGGTTTTTGAAGAATTAGAAAAATGAAGCATTTTTCTGTTTTTTTTCTTTTGTAATCCTTGTTTTTTGAAGAAATGGGGATGGGCGTTGCTGGAGTTATGTCACTTTCAAAGGACTGCATTTGATAATTTATTTTTGAAGATAGAGCTTTGTAAATCTCGAGTAGTGAATAGTGCAGAACAGTTGGCACTGCTGTCAAAGAGATTTGAACATCTACAAATGGAAAAAGTAAAATTGCTCTTGGATCTATTTGACTTTTGTGCGTATGCGATTACAATAAGCATTTAAACACTATAATGCAAGAGATTTCAAAACAAAATTCAGGGTCAAATTATGTGCTACACCATATACTCGTGAGGCATCTTGGGAAATGATCAGTGCTACAGATTGTGCAACTATAGCATCTCATCCTGCTCATAGCATTAATGCTAGATTGGCTACATAAAAAATTTCTTATGCTTTTTATGGCTTTCTGCAATGTGGAATAGGGATCAGTCCTATTTGTGTTGCAAGTGCTTTACTAGCACATTTTTACTTCTATACTAATTTATTAAGATGTAGCAAAAAAAAAAAAAGTTCTTTTGTTGGTTATCCTCCTTTCTGGTAAACAGAATGTCATTAATACCATTGCGTTACTGTCTTTGTGTTGACACCATGTCTATTTTTTCTTAAGCAGGCGTACTTGTAACCTTAAGTTTGGTGAAGGTGTTCAAATGAAGTCTGTGCAACACAAGGATCAAGAATGTGCTATAGAAGGTTTTGTCTTTAAGTTTTGGTGTAGATTTAGGCTCTGGGATGTTCTGATCACCCTCCATAAGGTTCCTGAACAACTTTAAATTAGAATGAACAGTTCTCCCCGTTCCTTTTATCATAACTGCTTTAAATTGATTTGGATTAGTTACAAACCTCCTCTGATCACCCTCCAAAGGTTCCTGAACAACTTTAAATTGTGTACCTCCGACTAGGAAATGGATCACATCACTATAGTTTTCCCTTTTTCTTTTTGGTTAGTTGTCAAAATCTCTTATACCTCTGCATCCATACAGGAAATGGTTTTTCTTTCATTCTTTTAATCTTATTTTTACTCAACTAATTTGTTTGGTTTAATTCTTTTTTAACTTGATTGAGCTGAATAACTGTGAACCTTAAAGAGTCGGTGCTGGCAACTTTCTAGAAGCATTGAGGTTAATGAACTTTACTTGAGATGGGTTCAAAGTGAACAGCATAAGGTAACATGCTCGAATTAAAAGTTATCAACAGTTTATTTTGTTGCATGCCTAATTAACAATTTATGGACTTGATTATTTACATCTGGGATAGATAATATTGTCAAAACCCACAGTGAAAGCACATTTTTTTTGTCTTCACATTTTTTGCTAAATAGTTGAAAGTGAAAGACTCTTTGTTAGGTAGTTCACCTTTATCCAAATTTTCTGATTTGAGTATCTAATTGTTTTGCTATGATTTAACACGTATTTAATCTTCTTTTTCCTTCCCCAAAAAAACCTCATTGGAAAGTACAGAGGTGAAACCCGATACAACTTATGGTGCATCAATTAAATCTTATATTATAGGTTTAACAGTGACTTTTGGTCCACCAAAGACTGTCAGTTTAATTAAGATATTTGAAGTAATAGCTGAGTTCCTTGCCATGTGAATAACGAAATTTCAATGACTTGTTTGATGGTTCGAGTGTTAAATCTAGGTGTTTCTCCTCAAATTCAATGATGATATCCACATGCTTCTCAGCTTTTAGCTTCCACTACTTGAAATTTTTTTTACTTTTTTCTTTTTTAATTTAGTTATGTGAATAATATACTTTTTTGGTTTTGCATGTGAAAATATTGAGTTTTTATGAGAACCATCTCCAAGTTGTGGAAATTGCGTAGCTGTATGATCAAGTTGTGTAAATTGATTTTAATATCTTTCATTGGCATTTTGTGTAAATTGCATAGTTGCATGATCAAATTGTGGAAAAGTTTACTTACATACCGTCTCCAAAGATCTAGCGCATTTAATACTTTAACTTTGGTGAGAACACAAGTTACCAATCAAGATACTTTAGGTTACCTGTAAGAATCTTTTCATCTCTCGACTTTGGCAGCTACTGTATCGAAAAAAAAAAGAAAAAAGAAAAGTTCCTTGTTTGTGTAATGTGTTGAAAAATACAAGGGTTAACAAATTTTGCATTAGACAGTTAGTAACCAAAAGTTCAGATGTTTGTTGTCATGTCCTTGTTGGCATCATTCAAGACCCTTGATTTGTTTTTAACTTGGTGTTACAATAGTAAACTAATTTCGGTGGATTATATCTTACTTTCTTTTTTGTTATAATACTTGGCAGGTTTTTCACCAGTTTTTTTCGAAAGCTGCTCATTACAGTTCTTGGATGAGTGCGAATGGCAGAAAGTTTTCGTTTTTGGTTGAGTTAAAATATCCATTTATTGGAATCATGGAAGTTCAAGCTCATGTTTCGAGATTCTATAAGACTAATTTTTCTATTTCTTATGAATTCCTTGACTATGAACAAATGTCAAAATTTATACTGCTAGACAAATTGTAAATGCAACTTTTTATGGTTTAAAATCTTTTACAATTGCAACAATATTTTTTCCCTTTTGTTTGTTAGTTTATAATATTTCTTCATTTTTTTTGAAACATATGATTGATATTACTCGATATCTCACACGTACTTTGCATGGAAAGATGCATATGTTCTATATTAGACCTTCTAGATTTGGATTCGTCTGATATGCAGCCTATGAGATAATAACTTCATACTCTATGGATGAGACTTTTTGATATTGACCCACTCGAAGTTATGAACTCGTATCCCTCCAATCCTTGGATCTAAACGAAGAATCAAGATGATTTGCAGAACTCTTGACCCCTTTAAATCACGAAGTTATGAACTAACAATATTTTTTAACCCACAATTTAATAATTTAGCAAACCAAAACTGTTTGTAGAGGAACGCCACAACTATGATGTGTACTTGATTGATAAGTTCGATTTGAATCTTTTCAAAAAAAACTCTTTAAGAATTCAAGAAAGGCTCTTTTGGACAAGAAAAAGATGATAAAACACATTTATTGTTGGAAAAATCTGATTATTAACGATGGAAAAATTAGGTTATTTATAGCCTTATATGACTTCAAAACCAATGTGATTTGTGATCACTTATTTGGCCAAGAAACCAACTAAAATTCAGCCCTCTTTGAAGACTAATTTGGCCGAATATTACTAAATAATTAAACCATTAAAATAGCAATTAGATTGACAATTAAAATCTTAACTAATGCTACTAATCAAATGACATTAACTAACTAACAAATCAACTATCTAAGTAGTTTGCTTCTAACTCTTCATGTGCGACCAGCAAAGTGACACATGGAAGCTCTTCAAGTTGAAAGCCTTCAATAGTTCTTGTGTCATCACCAACTCGATCTTGAATTGCACAAACAAGTGCTTGTAGTGAATCTCTAAGTTTTCTTGCATGAGCTCTTGTAATCGAACCACTTGGAACTTGTACAATTTGATTCATCACTCTTATTATCAACAATGTGAACTTAAACATTCTTAACATTCACAACTGAGATTATAATCATTCTACTTTGCTATTAGATGATGGTTAGACTTTGATTTGTTTTGTCCTATATGTATGATGAACAATTCACTATGTATTTCTACAATCTAATGCATATTGTTGTTTTTCAATGACGTGTCTTTCCATTTCTTGATCCTTAGTTATGTTTCAGGCATTATACAAACAGGG